TGGAACAGAGGCTGGAAAAGATTGAGAGAATAAAGTGGATATTGATTAAAGCCCTTCAAAAGGTACATTTTGGACACTCAGAAGCCTCCCAGAAGCTACACCCAAAATGGAAAGTGGTCATGAGTTTTTCACACAATTATAAGTATGGTCCATTTGCATTTCAGGGGTTAATCCTCTAATTCCAGTTCCAGGTAATCAAGTAATTTACTCCTCAAACCTATCCCATGCCTCCCTTTCCCTGCCCTTGGTTCCTGCACTTCAGTAACAAATCTGTACCATCCTGAAATGCTCTTCCTTGCAGCCCATAAAAAGTTTCACACCCCTGTGGTTGCTGGCTGCTCTCAGCCTGAGAGGAGGTGTGGAGAGCTTTTCCACGGACTCTGGGCACACCTCATGGCAGCTTTTCATGAGTTTCCATCTGAAAGGGGGCTCCTGAAAAAGAGGGACAATGATGTTTTACGTGGGCAGATAGCAAGAGGATGAGGGGGAATGGTTTTAAAATAAAAGAGCGAGTTAAATTGATACTAGGAAGGAATTTTCCCTGGCAGGGTGGGCAGCCCTGGCACAGGTGCCCAGAGCAGCTGTGGCTGCCCCTGGATCCCTGGAATGTCCAAGGCCAGTCTGGACAGGGCTGGGAGCAGCTGGGAAAGTGGGAGGTGTCACTGGGTGATCTTTAATGTCCCTTCAGCCCAACCCATGCCATGATTGTGTGATCCATGCTGCTCACGCTTTGGGTTGTGTCTGAGTTTTGCACAAGGGCGTGGGCTGCCATTGCCCCACAGCTTGTTTGTGGATGAATTCCCATGGTCTGGTTTTCCTGGCTGGAGTGCCAGGACAATGGGAACGGCTGGTTTTGGTGTGAGGTGTGGGTCTGGTGGGTGACACCCTGGCTGACGAGAGGTGCTTCCAGCACAGTCTCCATCCCACACCACAGGGTGGCCTTCCCTGCCCTCACGCCCTGCTCCTGAGCGACATGGCTGTTGGGCCCACTTCTCCAAAGGCTGTCTCCCAGCTGGTATTTCACCCTCTCAGTCAAAAGCATCATCTAGCAAAAACCATTTGGGGTGTGGAGTCCTCATGGTGCCCTGCAGCTCTGGCTGGCACTGGGATCCCTCAGAAGCCTGGGTCACACCCCAGGGCACCTTGCTTGAAGTCACAGGGGTGGGTTGGTCATCTTCTAGTGCAGCTTTTACTGTTCCCATCCCTGCTGTGGCTGTGGCTGTGCCATCAGGCTTTGAAACCTGTCTGGAAGCTCCTTCTCCTCTGTTAAGGAGTTCTGCAGCTGCTCGGGGCGGGTCTGGGGACAGATGCAGGCAATTTCTTCTGCCTTCCAGACAGCCAGAGCCTGGTTTTCATAAGGAGTGAGTTAGGCTGTGCATTTTGCTTTTCAAGAGGGTGGTTTGATGTGGCCAGACCAAATGCCTGCTTCTGAGCAGCTTTGGTGCAATTAGCATGGGCTGCTCCAATGAACCATAACTCTGGTCTCATTTTGGGACAAAACTCAGAAGTATTTGCTGGTGGCAGTACTGGAACTTGTATCCTGGCTTGCTGCCAGAGCAAGAAGACTTTAATAATGAGGCTATGGTTAAATTTCCTCCAGTTTTCCTAGGTTTCCTGAGAATGTCTGAGACTAAATGGTGCAGCACTTTTTAGCAGGCTTTTATTAATTTCTTCCTCTCCTCTCTGTGGCGGGTGATAATCAGTCAGAGGTTCTCAAAATACCTGGTTTGAGCCCTGTTCCCACAGATGATGGCAGTAGACAGGTTCAGCCTCAGCTTTCAGGATGTTTCAGACATTACAGAATTGCTTCCCTCAATAAAATATTAATAAAAATTCATATAAGGTGTGGCTTGCAGTAGTTTCTTCTTACTAAGCAGTACCCCAGACAGAAAACCAGACCTAGACTGGCTGCTTACAAGTTGTTTTATATATTTTGATAGAATTTTCTCTTACAAGGGTTTTTTTTAGATGTGTGTTCTTGTCAGTATTGATACCCTGTTCGCTTGTAAGGCTCCTGGGATTACTCTGGATATTTGGATTAACATATATGGACATGGTGATCTCTACTCAGGCATGCAGAGAGATGGATGGATGGAAGGGGCTACTGGAAGAATGTGAAGTTTATTCCAAAAGCCTCTGATTTTCTTTTCCCAGCAGTAGTTTTGAGAAGGAAAATGTATTTAGGCTATTATAAGTTAGTGTAGGTGTATACAGGATTTTCTAATTAACTCTTCTTCGTACTGCTAATTATGGAGTGAAGGAGATGTTGTTTGGTTTCCAGGCTAAGTCTGACATTTTTGACAGCCAAAGCCCCCCCACTGAATTGCTCTAAGAGCATCTCAAAAGAATAAAAACTTCAGTCTTCCAAAGCAAAGTTTCTTGTTCCCCAGTAAAACAAAGCTGTCCAGTTGAGTGCATTTAAGGAATCCAAGAAATACACATAAATTTCTTCCCCTCTTAAAGGAAGAAACAAAAAAGTGAAAGAGAAGCACTGTATGTAACAATATCTTAGGTCCTACATCAGCAGTTCATCTTTTGTAAGTCTGTGTCTTACTATTTTCTTCTATTTCCCTCATTTTGAATAAAACCGAAGTGAAACCCCTGAAATTCTGTGTTGAAAACAACTGGTAGCAAAACTTCTAGAACATTTTGGAAAGGATTAAGGGTAAAAGAGTGTTTCATCTGTCTGGATTTGGTTTTAAGTAGGAAAGACTATTTATGTTAAATTAAAATAAAAGTATTTTATTATATATGTTACATATATATTTATCTTGATAGCACTGTAAAACAATTACTGCTAACTCAGACATGGTTAGTGCTTTTGATTCAGACAATTATTAGAATGTACAAATGCCTTTTTAGGGTGCAAAGAGGTGAAGTACTCTGGCTTCTGAAAAAAACCCCCAGAATTCTTGCAAAACAAACAAAAAAATATGAAACATTTGAAATAATTAATCTCATACTTCACTGCTGTTTCTTGCACAGCTGAGTGATAAGTGGATTGCTTCACAACAGATTTATTTATTTATGTTTTTTACTTCTTGGAAGTGGTGGCCTGACCTTCCTTTTTCCACTGTATTGTTTACTTCTGCAGGAGTCAAAATATAACAGCAGCTGTAATAGAATTAAATTTACTTCTTATTCTTTTTATAATCTGTACAAGGAGGAAAAACTTTTGCTTAATGATACCTGTGGGAACTTATTCTAATTATTTTAAATCCAAGCTTGTTTTCTAGGTTGGGTGTTGAATTCAATAGCTGTGGTTAATATTGGCCCCCTCCAGTGTGTAAGTGCACTAACACTGATTGAAATACAAGTAAATATTTACAGAAAAACCACATTGTAGAGGATGCACATTGCTGCAATTTTAAGGGCCTCACAGTATTTAATAGCAAATTTTCATTGTTTTATGAGTGCTATAACAAGCAGGAAGAAATTTAAAAGGAAGATATTTGCTGTCTTATAGTTACTTCTGTTAAATGCTGCGTTTAAAGTCAGCAATGGAAAAAGATGTGATATCAAATAGTGAGGGATCCCTTGTCAATAATTTAGGGCTTCCATTCTGCTGTGTTTGGTTGGGTCTTTATCTTGTAAATTTATGTAACTCTCAGAGGAACAACCTTCCTAAAACCTGGGGTAAGAGGCAGCAAAGTGTCTGGATTTTGCTGCTTCAGGGTCAGTCTGGGGAAGATGCTGCACAGGGAAAAGTGATTTCTCCTCTGCCTGAAGCTGGGAAGCATTTCTGATGTGGTGCTCTGATTGTGGCATCTGATTCCACTAGGGATATTGTCCCTTTTCAGGGAAAAGCTACCCAAGAGCTAAAAGAAAGCCTGATGCCATGGTTCCTAATGGTGATTGGAGTAAAGGCATTTATTTCCATAATTTTAAAAAGGCCTAAAAAAATAAAACATGTGTTAGCACACTAAAATTACAGTTTTGATGGGAATTCTTCCATAAATTGTTCTGGCAGATGGAGAGGAATAGCTCTGATGAAGTGCTACATGCTCCCCCAAGTCCTCCCAAAAGATGGGAAAGAATCAAGATCTTAAAATAAATAAAACAAACTGAATTTACCAAATTCTTAGCATGAGAATTAGAAGCTCATAAAAAGTGCAGTTATCTTGCTCTCTGTAGCTGAATGTTGTGAAACTGGGTACTGTTGCAGGAGTGTCTAAAAAGGATATTAAACTGTCTCAGTTTGGATGATTTGGTGATTAAGATTTGGGTGGTTTATGATCATGCTGCACATTATAACTTAAACCAAACAAGCATGGCTTATTGCAGGCCATGTTACCTGTCCATGTCCCGTGAGGGGGTTGTGATACCTCGAGAGGACACCTAGAAGAGAGGCTAGGCAGAATAAAAGAATAAAGTAGGTGTTTATTAAAAATATATTAGGTTGGAAAAGGGTTGTTTTGTCTAACTAAACTGCGAGGAGATATATATAACACTTTATATGAAGTTCAGAGTTATATGCTGATGCAGTACAGAATCAGGAAAATATGAAAGCTAAAACTTAAGGCATCATTTCCCCCCTTGTGGAGTCTCTATGCTCAATATCTACTAATAATAGGTACTTAATAATAGATAAATATTTATCGGTTTAACGATAGCAAATATCTAACAATAGTAAATATCTAACTAACTACTATTGATTTTCTATTGATTATCTAAACATCTAACTAAATACTATAGATTTAATGATAGTAAATATCTAACAACAGTAAATATCTAACACTAGTAAATATCTAACAGCAGGGAATATGTTACAATAATAAATATCTAACAGTAGCAATGTTTTGCACAGTCAGCTACCATGCAAAGAAGAATAATGAATAATATGAACAGTTCTTTAGGCACAGAAGAGGAATAATTTATGCACGTTTTCATTTGCATCACTCTCTGTTTTTTCAGTTCTTTCAGGAGCAGAAGCCTTCTTAAACCAAAACCCTTAAAACCAGCATCTGGCTGTTTTTAGTGACCTGATCTCTCTCTGGCAGCTACTCGGACATCCTGATTGAGCGGGAGGTGCTGATGCAGAAGTACATCCACCTGGTGCAGATCGTGGAGACCGAGAAGGTGGCGGCCAACCAGCTCCGGCACCAGCTGGAGGACCAGGACACGGAGATCGAGAGGCTCAAGTCGGAGGTGAGCACCAGACCCACCCAGCAGCCACTGACAGGAGCCTTCTGTGGGTGCAGGGCTGTGGGGATGCCGTGGGAGGCCACCTGGAGCACAGCTAGACAGAGTTAAAGGAGTACAGTTGGATTTATTAAAGGGCCTTTGAAGGATACGCCTTGGGCAGTGCAAGAGCCTGGCCGTGGCTCCACCAAAGGTGCGCCCAGGGTGCACTCAAGACGGACTCCAAGTCACAAGTTCTCACACTTTTATGAGTTTTGGTTCATTTCCATATTGGGGTTCAGTGCCCAATTCCAGCTTCAGGTGATGCAGTCCCATCCTCCCAGTTTGCTCTCCTCAATTTGCCGTTTTTACACTTTTTGGCCTGAAGCTGCAAAGGTGTCTTTGGTTCTGGGGCTGGAAAAGGATTGTTCTCTGTGCCTGAGCTGTGAGGAGAACTTGCTGAGACTTGCTGAGAGTTTTATACTAATGCAGTACAGAGTCTGGAAAACACGAAAGCAACAACTTACGGCATCAGTGGCATTCAGTATTTCTGTAGTATTCAGTGAAAATGGCAGAACCCAGCAAGGTTAATATGTTACAGCCCCAGTGACTCCTTAGATAAATAATTTTCTTTGAAATATTGGGGTCTGTTGGGCTGATTGGGTTACTTTTCCCAACGTCCTGTCATCCTTTTGTCCTGTTAAGATGACACACTGCTTTGCAGAGTGGGTGCCACTGATTTCTCTGTTTCCTCCCTGCCTTCAGGTGAGTCTGGCTGTGACGGTGTTAAGGACTGTCCCAGTCTGCTCTGATCCCCTGGATGCTGTTAAAAACCTCCTTGCAGTCCCGGGCTGACAAAGCCCAAAAGGCACAGCGGGGCAGAACCTGCTGGTTCTGGGTCTCCTTCCAGCTGTGCTGGCTTGAAGTGCTCCAGTCCCTGTCCCCAGATGTGTGCTGGTCACTCTGTGCCCCTTCCACAGGCTGGGGAAAGGGAAATTGTTGTTCTGTTGGTTCTCCAGCCAAGAGTTTCCTTAACTCGAGGAAGCATTTAATGAGTGTTTGGTTTTGTCAGATTGTAGCACTGAATAAAACAAAGGAAAAAATGCGACCTTATCAAGGCAACCAGGAAGATGAAGATCCAGATATTAAAAAAATTAAGAAGGTAAACATGAAATCTTTTGTGCTTAAAGGGAGGAGGGTGGGATGAGGGGTGTACTTCCATTTTTTGGTCTAGTTTTTGGGCTTGTTTTGGTTTTTTTTTCAAGTACAGTTGAATAGCAAGTTTTTCTTTGCCCTGCCCCTGCTTAAATCTCTTCAATTACATGTATTTTTGTGCCACATTTAATCTTGTGATGTATTTGCATGAAATCCTTTATGATATGTGTCTGGTTTCTGTCTTTTTCTGGGGTGTGCAGTTTGAGCCAGGATCAGCTTTGAGCTGATAACTTAGCGTGAGTTTTCCTTTTTGTGTAGGCCAACCCTTTACAGAAGCTGGGAATGCCCCTTTTAGTAGCAAGAGAGCTTTGAATCTGTATGTAATTCACTGTATTCTATGTCTTGGTCATTTTGACAGTTGGGCCCCTTTTATTTAAAGTTATTTTTTCAGAGTAAACAGATGCCAGTGAAGTTTTGCACTTCTCATTCATTTTATGAAGATTAATGATCTCCACATCAATATCAGGGCACAGACATAATGAAATTTCCTGTGACCTCTTCTGTAATCTTTAATCCACTTTCAACTTCAGTAGATATTGTGCTTAGTTAGATTTTTCCATGACATAGAGGTGCTTTTTAAGAATGCCAAAAATCTGTCTTTTTGAATACCATGTTTGTTGCCTTGATGTCTGATACCAAGCAATGTATTGATACCTAGCTTTAAATACCCACACCAAGTGTATTCTGTTCAAATTGGAAAGCAAACTGAGCTTAAAAAAATCATTTGAGTGTTCTGCCAATAATGATATTGAGTCTGTGCTGGAATTTGTTATCGGGAGGAATTGCAGGATACCTTTGGGGTATAAGAGAAATGTTTTAGGGGGAGGAAGAAGGAACTGCACTCCTGCTGATGGGAAGGGTTCAACACTCCAGCTTGCAGTGAAAGGTTCCTTTCTGTGTATACCATGCTTTACAGTCTGTTTCCTGGCAACAATTATGACCCTTAACGAACAGAAATGTAAAATATATTTAATTACAGAACAATTACATATCAATAAGGGAACATTTTTATTTTTGAGCAAAGACTTTTAATTTTGAGACTTATTTCTACAGTGAAGAGCTTATGATAAGTCTTTGTATTGTTTTTTTTTTTTTTACTTTCTTTTCCTGCGTGATCCCTTTTTAGGTTCAGAGCTTTATGCGGGGCTGGTTGTGCAGAAGAAAATGGAAAACCATTGTCCAAGACTATATTTGTTCTCCGCATGCAGAGAGCATGAGGAAGAGGAACCAGATAGTTTTCAACATGGTGGAGGCTGAGTCTGAGTATGTGCACCAGCTTTATGTCCTGGTGAACTGCTTCCTGCGGCCCCTGAGGATGGCAGCGAGCTCCAAGAAGCCACCCATCAGCCACGACGACGTCAGCAGCATTTTCCTCAACAGGTATAGAGGTTTATTTGGGATTTTCTGGTTGTTGTTTTTGTTTTGGGAGGTTTCTGTGGCTTTCTGTTTGAGGTTGGGTTTTTATTTGTTTGTTTTGTTGGGTTTTTTGTTTTTTTTTTTAAGGTTTGGGATTTTTTTGGGTTTGTCTTGTTTTGTTTGGGTTTTTGGTGGGTTTGTTTGGTTTTTTGTTTGTTTATTTGTTTGTTTTTGGTTTTTTGATTTTTTGGGGGTTTTTTTTGTGTGGGTTTCCCTGGGTGCTTGTTCCCACTGTGGTTCAGCTAAAGGCAGAGTCCTGGCTCCTCTTTTGGCTCTGGTGCAGGTGGTGTCACTGAGCCAGACACATTTCCAGGGCTGAAAGGCAAAGGTGCTGCAGGTGATGCTGTTGGAAGCCAGCATGACCTCCTAACCTTCCTGCATTCTGTGTCTTCATCTGCTAAAGGAAAAAAAGGACAGATGGTGCCTCTTGGGGCAGTTCTCATAATCTTCTGTCACCTTTCCTGTTTCTTTCTTTCTCTTAAGAGAGCAAAACTGGACTTAGTGGCCTCAAATGATCCTGATGAGACCCCGAGGATGAGAATGTCAAAGCTTCTATTTTCTGTTGTCCTGCCTAAGGAATCCCCTTCCCTCTCACTTGTCTTTTCATATCCTGCAAAAAAAGAATTGCTCTTTCATTAGGCATCCAAGTACTGCTGTAATGAGCATGTTCAAGCAGCCCAGGAGGCATCTAACATTAGATACAGGATTGGGATTGCATCCAAGCCTGCCCCAAACTTCTGAGAAATAGAATATGTTCCTTTAGTCATGAGGCAGGTTTCCTTTCCCTTGTTAGAATATGAATACAATGTTAGAATATTTATATTGAATAGGATGAGTCTTTTAGAAGCACTGAGCTAGTATTTTTAAACAATGCAGTAAAAGGAAACACTTATTTCCATAACAATAACTGTTTTCTGGTTGTTTTTTTTTTTCTAGCAAAAGAGGAAGAGATGTTTCTCTGTGAATTATTAATCAGAAAATAAAACCAGAATTGTCTTTTTGTTTGTTTAAATACTTGTTTTTCAGCGAAACAATCATGTTTCTTCATGAGATATTTCACCAGGGCTTAAAAGCAAGAATAGCTAACTGGCCTACCTTAATTCTAGGTAAGTTACTTTATTTTCTGTAGGGGTATTACTTTCATATTAATTTTTGAATATTCAGTAGGGATTTTTTTTTCTGAAGACATGACTTCTTAAAAGTCCCCTTTGAAGGGAATGCATTTGCAGGGTTAAAACCAGAAGATCAGGTGCAGTGGGAATCCCATGTGGGCAGTAATGATCTGTACATGAGAATTCCTCTGCCCTACGCATTGATTAGACCTGTGTTTTTGGTAATGCTATCTGACCATTAGGTAATCAGAACAACCATCACCGGGCAGGTGAAAGAGCTATGTTTAATGTTTCTAAATTATCAGTGTATTGGAAACAGAACTGATTATAGTAATTCACTTCCAGAGCAAACACTGGAAAACACATTTTCTTTAAAAATGTATTTCAATACATGGGGGGAAGAGGAAAAAAAAGGTATTTTTCTGCTTTCTCTAGCTGACTTATTTGACATTCTGCTGCCAATGCTGAACATATATCAGGAATTTGTTCGGAATCACCAATATAGCCTACAAGTGCTGGCAAACTGTAAGCAAAACAGGGATTTTGACAAACTCTTGAAGCAATATGAAGCCAACCCAGCATGTGAGGGCAGAATGCTGGAAACTTTCCTTACCTACCCCATGTTTCAGGTACTCCCTGTGTATTTTTTGTGTATGTTTGGTTTTACTGTTGGATAGATTCATTTTGTGGTACTGACATTGCAATCGATGGAAGGCTCGTCTTGCTTAACTAGAAATACTCTCCAGAAAATGAGTTTGGTGTAATTTATTTTGCTGTTACACCAAGATTCTGCCTGTGGTTCCTCCCCAGCTCTGCTGGCTCATCTTTGTTCAGTCTCAGGAATGCTGAGGGGGAGTGTGGGATGAGGATGGCAGCAAAGAAAACTGGCAAGGAGCAGGTCCTTGTCTTAGGACCCCAGGTGATAAAGCCCAGGGAGAGATAATATTCAGTAATTTAGAGCACTCATAAGCACCTTTCTGGGAATACATTTTATATCTTTCTCCCCACTTTGCTCTTGAGTGACTTGGTCTCTAGAAGATGAAAAATAAACTGCAAAAGTTTTAAAAACTGCTTACCCTCCTGATATTTTACTGTCATCTGCCTGGAGTAGACATTTGCTGCTGCTTTAAGATGTCTGTGAAGCACTGGCCTGAGAATTTTATGTGTTTTTCATTTAACCTGACATTTTACTCATCAGAGAATTAGTGAACCCCCTCAGTTTGTGCAGTTATTGGCAAGCCATATAGAGAAAAAAAACTACAAAGGGGCATCAGTGACACTTACGCTAATGGTAGTTACTCATATTAGCCCAAGGAGCCATTAGCACCTGCAACAATAATTTTTAATTTTTGAAATGGTATATTTTAAAGTTTTTATGAGTGTGGGGCTTCTTTGGGTTGAGTTGAAACCAGGTCTAGAGAGGGAAGGAGATGGTCCTGCTCCTGTGTGATGAGGAATGCTATTATGTCATTGCTGAGGACTTTCCACATGCGCGTAATGTCGCCTCTCCTCTTACATAAATCTTGTTGTGTCAGACCAGTTATGCTGCACCACCACTTGGTTAAAAGCTCTGAAGGGTCTTTCTTTTGGTGGCTAAAAGCTCTGAAGGGTCCTTGTTGCCCTGTAGCCTTTAATGGTCAAATACCGGATATTCTTCCATCTCCTTTTGCGCAATGTGAATGTTACCTGAATGCAGACAAGTCACCTGGTATTTTAAATGTCAAAATAAATTTACATGCTCATAATCTATTAAAATTGAGGGAAGGTATATATGGATTTACTGATATTATGTCTTATTGGTTTCAAGATTCCCAGATATATTATAACACTTCATGAACTTTTGGCTCACACACCACACGAACACGTTGAGAGAAAAAGCCTTGAATTTGCTAAATCTAAACTAGAAGAACTTTCAAGGTAAGATTTTTCTGCCTTATGCTTGATAATTTTGAATTAAATGTTTTGAAAAGAAAAAACAATTTTTCTTTATTTTTATTTGTTTTTGCTCTTTTAAAAAAATATGCATTTCAAAGAAAATTATCAAACCCAAAACATAAGATACTGAAAAATAACAAAAATATCTCAGTGTAATATTTTGTCTGTTCTATTTATATTTTTTGGCAAATTTAAATTTCCAAGTGCCTCCTTGTATTTTGGTTAGGGAGAATTGAAATCACTATAGAAACCACCTACTCCTTCGTTATGAACAGAGCAGTTTTCTTTACATAAAGAAATTTTATTTTTCTTAATTTAAAGAGATAAGGTCATTTAAAATAATCATGGTCTTGCAAAGCACTTAGTTCTCTGTCTGTGTCATAATTTTAGCGTGCCAGCGTGAAAATTGACTTTCATGCACACTTCAAATAATGCCAGATAAACAGGAAGGAAAGATAAATTCTTTTGCTCCCTGTGGAAACCTGTGCAATGAAACTCTTCCCTTAACCCCCAGACATTTCTCAGATTGTTGTGTGGTGTTTGTTGGATTTTGCCTGTGTGGTGTGCCCATGTGGAATAAGTGATTTGTTGCTGTACCCCTATGGGTGTTCGTTGGATTTTGCCTGTGTGCCCATGTGAAATAAGTTAAAATAAGTGGTTTGTTGCTGTACCCCTATGGGTGTTGGATTTTGCCTGTGTGGTGTGCCCATGTGAAATAAGTTAAAATAAGTGGTTTGTTGCTGTACCCCTATGGGTGTTTGTTGGATTTTGCCTGTGTGCCCATGTGAAATAAGTTAAAATAAGTGATTTGTTGCTGTACCCCTATGGGTGTTTGTTGGATTTTGCCTATGTGCCCATGTGAAATAAGTTAAAATAAGTGGTTTGTTGCTGTACCCCTATGGGTGTTTGTTGGATTTTGCCTGTGTGCCCATGTGAAATAAGTGGTTTATTGCTGTACCCCTATGGGTGTTTGTTGGATTTTGCCTATGTGCCCATGTGAAATAAGTTAAAATAAGTGGTTTGTTGCTGTACCCCTATGGGTGTTCATTGGATTTTGCCTATGTGCCCATGTGAATTAAGCGGTTTATTGCTGTATCTCCCTCTGTACCCTACAGGTGTTTGTTGTACTTTGTGTGGTGTGCCCATGTGAAATAAGTTAAAATAAGTGGTTTGTTGCTGTACCCCTATGGGTGTTTGTTGGATTTTGCCTGTGTACCCATGTGAAATAAGTTAAAATAAGTGGTTTGTTGCTGTACCCCTATGGGTGTTTGTTGGATTTTGCCTATGTGCCCATGTGAAATAAGTGGTTTATTGCTGTATCCCCCTCTGTACCCTACAGGTGTTTGTTGTACTTTGTCTATGTGGTGTGCCCATGTGAAATAAGTTAAAATAAGTGGTTTGTTGCTGTACCCCTATGGGTGTTTGTTGGATTTTGCCTGTGTGCCCATGTGAAATAAGTAAAAATAAGTGGTTTGTTGCTGTACCCCTATGGGTGTTCGTTGGATTTTGCCTGTGTGCCCATGTGAAATAAGTGGTTTATAGCTGTATCCCCCTCTGTACCCTACAGGTGTTTGTTGTACTTTGCCTGTGTAGTGTGCCATGTGAAATAAGTTAAAATAAGTGGTTTGTTGCTGTACCCCTATGGGTGTTCATTGGATTTTGCCTGTGTGCCCATGTGAAATAAGCGGTTTGTATCCCCCTCTGTACCCTACAGGTGTTTGTTGTATTTCGCCTGTGTTGTGTATGTTGTGTGCCCACCTGAAATAAGTGATTTATTGCTGCATCCCCTCCTGTACCTATGGTCCCAGGGCTGTCAATCTCCCCTAAACTCGCCCCTGATTCCCACACCTCCTCCCTGATGCCCTGTCTGTCACCCAGCATCCCATCCCATCCATCTGGAAGCTTCCACAGAGGGCATGGTGCAATTGGATGAGGGCCTGGGATCCCTCCCTTGGCTTTCCCTGACTTGTGGTCACCCCAGTCCCTCACAGCCAGGACCACCCCCAGTTCCTCTCCATTGGTGGTGGGGAAATCCACTCCCCTGTCCCCTCCCTGCTTTATAACCTGGTGGAAGCCCCAAGGAGGGGCTGTGCTGGCTCACAGGAGCTCTGGTTCCTTGAGGAGTTTTATCCCCATCAAGTCACCTGTTTTCTCCAGTGGTCAGCTGTCCTTCAGCCCATAAGGTACTGCCAGGGGTGATTAGGGATGCTCTCCACTGCCCATTGTGCCCTTCTGGCTGGGCATTTAACAGCAGCATCAGCTGTTCTCTCACCCTGTGAGGAATGTGTTGTTCCTCTCTGGGAAATGGCAGTTTTCTGCTGTGAACATGTGAGACCATGGGTGAACTCCAGGGTACAAATACTTGATTCACTAAAGATCTGCTTGGACAATATTTAGTTGTAGAAGATGTGCACGAGCAGATAAATCCACCTTTGGACTGGGGTCATTACATAAGTCAGTGTTCATTGCTGGTCCAGCTGATTCACCATTGAATACTCAGATCTGGAGGCTGAGACTAACTGATCCTCTCTGCTCATAAAGTCAGTAGAGGCCATAAATGTGAAATAAACTGGCTCATTTCCATCCTTTTAAGGTAGTTCTGAGGGAGGAGGAGATTTCACAAAGTGCAGTCCAGTCCCACTTTAGGAAAATACCATTGCAAGATCTTACAAGCTCCTGGGTTGGTTTCAGCACTAAAAAAAAAAAAAAGTATTTTTCTCTGTAAGGGAAAAATAGCTATAAAAAATAGCAGAAAGGAAGTGGTGAAATACGAAACCTATGGTTGTTGAGGGAGGGAAAAAGGAAAGGAAAGGGCTAATATATTGAGATGTAAAGATGCAGCAGGAACAGAGTGGGACCCTAAAGCCATGGAGAGGAAATCTACATGTGCCCTACACAGTTCTAGGCAGTGCTCCCCTGTTTGTGGCATTAATTTCTCTTCTATCAGTTGTGAAGTGTTGTAGCTTGGTGGCATTTCTCAGATGTATTCAAGAACAGTCAATATTCTGCCAAATTTGCTCCACTGCTGAAAAATCAAAATGATCACAAGAATGCTTTGAAAAGGAGAGGCAAAAAGGCAGGAGACCTGCTCTGGAGTGAGGAGGCACTGGGTGGGTGTTCTCTAGCAGCTGGTGAAGGGCATGTCCTGTGTCTTCAGAGGCACAGCAGGAGTGAGGCGTGTTTTGGGGAGATAAAGTGCGTTTTGCCTTGTCCCCAACAGAGTGATGCACGACGAGGTGAGTGACACAGAGAACATCCGCAAGAACCTGGCCATAGAGAGGACCATAGTGGAGGGATGTGACATACTGCTAGACACCAGCCAAACCTTTATACGCCAAGGTAAGACATTCCTCTGCTAAACTGCCCAGTAATCATGGAAAAAACTGCACAGAAGGCAGCAGGGCTGCCTTGGTCAGGCTGGGCGCTGCACTGGGTACTTCTCAGCATCTTGAGCCTGCCCCCTGTCCCTGCAGGGTGAGTCACAAAGTGCCCCAAAAACAGGTGATTTTGGGCTGTGGTTGGACCTCAGTTCTGTGCTGTGTGCTGCAGGAACCACTGAAATCAGCATGTGAGAGGCAAAGCCCCTGTGGGACTGTGATTCAGGTTCTGCCTGGACTGTGCTCCACTCCCAAGGGCATGGAGCAGGGCAAGAGCAGCACTCTTCTCCTCTCTGTCTATTGATGGTAGCTTTGGAAACTCTTTCTGTTGAAAATTTTTAGTTACAGCAGAGGTGGAATTTATTGTTATGTTCCAAAAAACTCTGCTGGAATAACATTTCCATTTTAAATAAGGGAGAGTTTTTTGCCAGGAACTGCAAATTGGTTACAAATCTTGCTTGGTGGTGTTGACTTTTAACTGCTTATTTTTCTCCCATTATGTATTATATAATATTTTACTTTTGAATCTCTTGAATTCAGTTACTGGGTTTGTACACAGTTACTACAGATCTATAGTGCAGGATTTTGACAGATTTTGCTCCTTTGAAAAGCATTAAATATACTCAGGAAAGGTTAGGAATATAATTTAGGTGCATCCCTTCACGAAACCTTTTCCAGATAATCTCAGCAGAGCATCTGGTATTTGATGGGGCCATATTGCATCTGGTAATTAATAGGTTTTCTGTACATTTTGAAATGCATTTTATGCTGCTTTTGTAATAACGTACAGTATTATTTTTACAATACACTAACAGTATTGTTTTTACAAATCCTACTAAATTACTTTATTCTTCATTAAATGTATACATTTGTTATCTCTGAGGTGCTTTAAGAGTTATGAATATGACTTTAAGAAAAAAACAAGTTGTTTTGCACCCACAGCCAAAAAAATACAATGCCATGGTTATCCTAGGTTGACTTGTACCATGAAACCTGATTAAATTTTAGGGTTTATTTTCCAAGATTATTACTATATGTAATACAAATATGTATTTTTATTTATCAGGGTTTTCCCTTTAAAACTTACTGGTAATGTTTTGCCTGTGTACTCACTGCTTCATCAGTAAAACTTAAAATTCTTTTCTGAGGGAATTAATCTGTATAAATTACTGTTGGCTTGTTAGGCCCAGACCAAACCCTGTAAATAAATTAAATTCAGATTTATTTCTAGGCACACAGGCAGAGGATAGTTGGCAGGAGTGTGTGTCACAGAAAGTTTATCAGCTTATCTGGTGGAACATCCACTGCCTGTGATTCTGTGCAAGGGCAGAAATCTGAATAAAGCAAATGAAGTAATGGAGCGCATTTTCCTTTTACATCTGACAGTAAAAGGAAGGTCACTTTGGCAGTGGTGTCCATCTCCTCTGGTTTCAGTTAGACTTCCATTTGTTGTGTTGATTAGTGTAGATGAGCAGAGGAACCTTTTTTCCAGCTTAAAACAGGAGAGATGTGCCATTACCTTTGTTCAGGCTTTTTATTTCTGGATGTTAGTTACAATTTTTTTATATATTACACACTTTACATTTTTAGGAAGAGATTGATTCTGTTGAGTTGTGCATGTGGAGACCATGGGAACGGTCCTGGCAGTGTTTTGCAATGCAGATTGTGAATTCTCCTTTGAGTTTCTTGGGGTCTGGTTTTCCCTGCCTCTTACTCAGGTACAGATTTTATAGTCAGGCACACAAACAAGCAACGAATGGTTTCTTTGTGAGGCTGAAGGACACTCAGGGAGTCTCAAATCTGCTGGCATCCAAACAACTGGACACCTCGAGCCCCTCTGGTGCCTTCAAACACTCTGATGTGAATGTACCTCTGCTGATAAAGATATCAAAACCACAAAATCACACAACAGCTGAAGCTGGAAGGGACTTTGGAAATTACCCATTCCAGTCTCAAAGCAGCACCACTGGAGGAGGTTGGTTTCTGCCATGTCCAGTCACTATTTTGTTTCCAAGGGCAGAGATTCCACAGCCTCCCTAAATGAGCAATCTCTTCTGGTGTTTAACCCTCTGAGCAGTACAAACAAACAAAAAAGAGTGAAAGAGTCCAAAAACCTGCAGCATGGGGAAAGCCAGGCTGAGTTGGTAAATCAGACAGTTCAGTGCAGACTTCTGAATGCTTGGGTTTGTTTATAAATACAGCCTTTTGTATTCTTTGGATTGAGCAAAGGCTGAGAGGGAGACTATTGAAGCACTGAAGTGCTGAAAGTGCTTATGGCTGGATAAAAATTCATGGGATTGCACTATTGTCCAAACTATACTGTTAGTGAATGTTGTAAAATTAGCTTCACTTGCTCGTTGCATCTGTAGATTGGCCATTTGTGATCATTTTTTTTTCCCTTAAGAGGAAATCTGTGGTAGAGCCAATGCCCAGTTTTGTTAACCACTAAAGCCTGGTGAGAATGCCCAAGGTCCTCTCTTGGTGTCAGCCATGCAGAATGTGTAGGAGATGTGTTCCTCTCTGCAGATTTGAAAGAGAGAAAATGCAGTCTCTGTTTTCTGCTTTTAGAGAGAGGTTTGCTGTCTTTTACCTTATTAAACAGTATTTCAGCTCTGTGCAAGAGCATTGCCTAAACTCAGCCCATTATGAAAGAACAGAGCATTAATCCTGAAAACATTCTAATGAAAATAAAAACAAATAAACAAACCAAAGTTACCTGTAAACTTCTGTAAGCATATCATATTTATAGGTACAACTACCCTACAAAACAAAGCAGAAACAAAATTTACAGATTGAATATTGCTACCCTAAATGTGTAGATGTAATTTTAGGACTAAAAATACCCTGGGAATTTTGTCTGGGAGTGGTTTTGAATGTGCTGGCCTTGCAGTGTGGCTTGAGGGACAGTCAGTGTAACATGGGAAAGTCACTGTTCCAACATATGGAAATTATCTCCTCCCTGTCTCTTACAGCTGAGGCAGGTTGGCTGTTTGTCCAGGGGAAATGCACAACAGCCAACAAATATTTATGGGTTTGGGTCAGAAAGTAAGTGAATCTGAAATGTTCCAAATTTCTTTGCAAAATTCTGGAGCATAACTCCACTGCTCTGTTTCGGTGACACAACTTGTCTTACACACTTTTAGCCTAAATGTGAAGTGTCTGTCAGAGAACACTGTTCTCTGGCAAATTTCCTGCTGGGTATTTTTCCATGTCAGTAGAAGTTTGCATATTAATAACTTAAGGCTACTTAAATATAGAGAGAGAGCTAAGTGTAGAAAAAATGTAGATAAATAGCACCTTTCTCAGTTACTGCAGTTTCTTTGTTTGTTAATTTAAGACTGTATATGTGAACTTTGAGAAGGATAATCTGTTGGAATTCAAAATGTCCCTCAGGCATTTTTGGAGGTTCCAGGCCCTGGTCGGAAGCGTTTGAGACCCTGGCAGGCAGCTGAAAACAACTATAATTTTAAGTTTCAGCCATAAAATGATTTACCAACTTTGAAGGTACAACAAAGAGTCACAAAAGTTTAGATATTTTAGTAGAAGTAGTTACAGAGTAAAGAGAAAAAAAATTTTAATATTATACAAAGAAATTTTAACACCTATACAAAAAAATTTTTACTTTATCCATAAAAATCAAAAATTTTAAAAGAAATGTATGCCAGTCCTATTCCTCCTCTTTCTTCTTCCTTACCTCCATATTCTTAATAACAGTAACACCTATAAATTAATTTAAAATTAAAAAACACCATTTAATATAAATAATAAATATTTTTAAAAACTATAAACATATATCACATAATATATCATATAAAAAATAACAACCCTAGACAGAAAAAAAAAAGAGAAACAAAAAAAGTATCAAAGGTGTGTGTGCCTCTACCTAAGCTACTAACCAAACCACAACAGCCTACAATAAACTGCTTTATTTAAATATAGCTTACAATAAACTGCCTTAAAACCAAACAACAAGAAGCGACAAAGTTTTCTTTAAAAGCACGAGTTAAAAAAACCAAAAAACTTTACCACCACACAACAAAACCCCTTAACCAGACCGGGGTACCAACAATAATCCTTTTGACAACACAGGGTAAAAATTGCTAACCTAGTATTTCATGGGTAATTCTGTCAGGCTGGCATTGTGTCAGGATGCCACCACTACTCTGAGCTTTGATGCAGCTGTGCCATTTCATGTCTGGAAGGGGCAGGTCAAAGCCTTCTCCTCCTGCTTGTTCTGCTGAGCAGCTCCCTTTGCATCATCCGTTTCTTGGTGCTTTTGTGACCTTGCTCCTACCAGGGAGCTAAGCCAGCTGCCTCCAGACTTATTTTCCTGCTGGTTTAGCTGTGTGAGTACCTGGTGCTGGAGCAAGGCACTGGCTGGAGCCAGCGTGGAGGTAATAGTGAGGCGAGATGTGTGGGAAGGAGACTAGGAGGTCTCTTGGCTGCCCTGTCTGCCAACAGCAAGTTGTACGGTAGAAATCTTTCTGTTTAATCTACAGAGGAGTTGCACTCCCTCACCAAATTTAACTCCTGCTCCAAATTTGGAGGCGATACACATGGTGGGATCAATCTGGAAAAGCTGGTCACAGACTGAGATGTGAAACAGCAGAGAACCAGAGCTGTCCCCAGCCCGGAGCTCTGCAGAGCGAAATTCAGGCTTATGTAAGCAGGTTCAGTTTAGTCCTGGAGTGTTTTACTGGCAGCACATTTCAGATGAGCTGTGGAGTACTGACAATTATGCAGTACAAGATAAGAAGAAAAGTGCTTCGTTTCACGCGGGCATGCACGCAGACTCCTTTCCATCAAAAATAACTTTTCCATGTTCTTTCCATTCTGTATCCCTTTGGTTTGTGTCTTTTGCAAGTGTAGTGGCTGTCAGAGTTTGCTGTTAAGCCACATTTTCTGATCAATGGCCTCTTAGTGCGCTTAATTGCCTAATCAGCCCTGGATCTAATCCTGCCATGCACGCAAGTGTTAGTCTAGACTGTACTTGAGTCTATTTATGATAACAAAAAAAGGGAACTTGTGCAGTAAAAAAGGGATTTACTTGTGCTTAAAAGAGATGCTGATACTCATTGATACAGGAATGAAGAGTTGTGTTAATTAATGTAATAGTATCCAGTGAATTAACAACTTGAGCACTGCCTACTAAATGTTACTGTAATGCATTAAATTTTGCACCTTCATTACCAGGTTCCCTTATCCAGGTCCCCTCAGTTGAGAGGGGAAAGCTGAGTAAAGTTCGGCTGGGCTCATTGTCTTTGAAGAAAGAAGGAGAAAGACAATGCTTCTTGTTTACAAAACACTTCTTAATTTGTACGAGAAGTTCAGGAGGAAAACTGCATCTTCTTAAGGTATGAACTTTATATTATGATTTAATTTTCAAAATGAAAACACGTCTTTGGTGAACTGACAACATTTTGCTGTTTTATGGGTTTCACGTGAGCGTTGCATTAGTGGTTATAAACAAAAGTGGGGTGGTGCACAATGTTTAACTGCTTTGTCTTTTCATTGCAAATAATAGCATTCAGCCAATTTTCTTTTATTGGACCCAGTTAATTCTGGTAAACTGGGGATTAGAAACAAGGCATTGATGTATCTATTTGTTTGAAGTAGTGAATAAATTCAGTGTGTATAGCACTGAATTTAATTCCGTTTTCAGTGCATAAATCAGTCAGTACAACCAGCAGAATTGCCAAAGAACATTTTCCAGAGCTCTAATAAAATTAATTTTCAAAGTCAATTCAGTTTTCCTGAACAGCGTGTTCTCTTAAAATAAAATGTCATCTAAGAACAATCTCGTTACATTTGTTGAAAATCAGTCTTTCATAGTGCTGGCTAGTGGGTAAAGAGATGTTGGTAGTTCATGGAGTGGGTTATGTTGAATAACCAAATTTTAGCCTGGCATACCAAGAGGTTATTAAGGGTCATGTGCTTTCCCACTTTGCACCTCTTACGTAGTTCAAGAAAACAAATAGTGTCTAACAGAACCTTTAAAAACCTCGTATGTATTTCACTTAAATTGAAAAGATGAAATTCTAGTTCACTTTTTTGGAACTCGCAAACAAGTCTGTGTTTGGCATAAATTAAAGTGTGGTAAAACTGAAAGAAGTTTTGTGCATTGCGTTATTGATCTGCTGGATTAAGAAAACCATTATATTTAATCAGATTGGGTTTAGTTCTTTAGGGAAAAAATGTGCATCATGAAATTGATGTATTTCCGTAGAGCTCTGAGTAATGTAAAATGTTATAGTCAGGCCTGTCAACATTTAAAAAAACCCGTGAAAAATGGGAATAAATAACATTTGTGCGAAATGTGCTTTGTTTCCACAGACAGGAGGTGTTCTGTCTCTGATGGAGTGCACACTGGTCGAGGAGACAGAAGCCAGTGATGATGATTGTACGTTAAATTCAGCTGTCAGTAGTAAGTACAGTTTCTAGTTTCCTAAAATTAGTACCCTGTTTTATTTTTTCATTAGAGCAAATAGATATCTTGTTGTGAAACCAGTAGAACACAGTGTAAAACTGATCCAGTAGAATTGCTGTTCCAATAATGGACATGCTGGCTTGGATGGGGCATTGTTTTTTTGTACTTGTTCCTGCTGTTAACATCCCTTACTGGATTTTCAGGAGGGTTGGCTGGAGAAATGTGACAATTTATTTGCTGGCATTTGTATTCAGGTTCACCCAGAGCATCTCAGAAAATAAAATAAAAATAAAAAAATTTAAAAATAAAAAAAAAAAGGAAAAAAAGCCTTAAATAAGCAGTAGATAGTTAGCTTTCAGAAATAGACAGGAGCTGAATGATTTGGAAGAATTAATGGGAGATTTTTTTGCCTTGGGCTCCCCAGAAATCTGGACTGTGAGCTTGTTCAAATGGAATTGCAAAATACAGCCTCAGGCTGGTTTTATTGTTACTCCTTTTGTCTTCCATCCTGCAGTTTGTCAAGTTTTGCACTTGAATTGTGAAAGTAGTTTTATTAATTTGAGTGATACTTGTAGTATGGTGAGGATGTATTAGCATACAAGTGCTATCAGAAACTTCATCTTGGAAGAGCAAATCCCAATATTTTTGTGCTTGCCACATGTGAATAACAAAATTAGTTGCTGGATACTTAATTGGCTTTGCCCTTTATCAGAAAGATGTTTCATATCATTTCCATTGTAAATGAAATCAGTGTTTTTTTCATCTTATGCTGTGACATTTCATGGTGTGACTTTTTTCCTCCCCCTCTGGCTGTAAAGCAAAAGGTTCTGGACAGGTGTTTGGACACCTGGATTTCAAGCTGGTAGTGGAGCCCACGGATGCTCCTCCTTTCACTGTTGTCCTTTTGGCCCCGTCACGGCAGGAGAAAGCTGCGTGGACAAGTGACATCAGCCAGGTACCCCAGGGCTTTTCTGTCTTGGTGTGGAAAGCCAGGTGTGTGCTGAGGAAGGCAGGAGCATCCCCTGAAATGGAAAATGCAAACCCACTCCCTCCAAATTATTGTAATTTTGAAACTAAGGGGCTCTCAGGCACAGATGTGGGAATAGGAATAGCAGTTGTTTACTAGGAAAATTATAAATACAGATGCAATAGTACAAAATAAAGCAGTGCCAGAGTCAGACAGGCCCTGGCCCCTGTGGGTCAGGGAGGTGGCAGCAGCCCCATCCCAGGGGGGCTCAGCCCTCCTGCAGTGCCAGCTGTGCTTCTGCTGGAGCAGGATCCTGCACAAGGGGGGAGTTTTCCTCTGGAGCTCCAGGGCTGGGGGAGATGGGCCTGGGCTCCTCTGGGAATGCAGTGGGGAAGAAAGCTGCTCCTCTGGGAATGCAGTGGGAAGAAAGCTGCTCCTCTGGGAATGCAGTGGGGAAGAAAGCTGTTCCCCTGGGAATGCAGTGGGGAAGAAAGCTGCTCCTCTGGGAATGCAGGGGGAAGAAAGCTGCTCCTCTGGGAATGCAGGGGGCAAAGGCTGCTGTGCTTTTCCCAGGTCAGATTGTATCCAGGTAGGAATGCTCGGCTCCTCCCCTGGGCGCAGCATCTCCCCATGGATGATGGAATTTTCTCAGCCATGCAGGGACACTCAGTGGCCATGAACAGGATATAATTAATAATTAGTGGCCCATGAACAGAAAATAATTAATAATTAATGGCCCATTGACAGAAGAGATCTCCTGGAGGGAGGATGGGTGGTGGAAGAGATAAAGAACAAACTGCCCAACAAACAGAAGAGAACCACCCCGGCTCTCACAGATGGGGATAGAATACACACTCTCCTTTCCAACCTAAGAATTTTCTCACGTGGTTATTGTGACGTCTTCTTTCACTCTGTGCTTCTGGAAACCAGCCTGACACAGGGGTCCTGAACACCTTTGGTTTGCAGTGTTATGTGTGAAAAACCATCAGTGCTGCCTGTTCTCCTCAAAATTCTTGAGTCACCAGGGAAGTGTGTTTCTCAAAAACAGAGATGGGGTATAAATTTCAAAATTGTCCACAGACAAACATAGTGGTAAGCTTCTTTATGTCTAAGGAGACCTAGCTAGACACATATTTTGATTTAAGAAGAAGGACAGTACTTTATTCAGGTGTATTCATGATTTTCATGTAGATCAAAAACCACCTGAGAGTCCTAGTGTGAAAACAATACCGTATCGTGTCAACAATGAAGTAAGAAAATGGGATAAACTCTTTTTTCCACCAAAAATACCAACAAACTATTATAAATAATTGCTGAGCATTCTGGCAGTGTGCAGGATCTGTCTATGTTGTGAATGAGCAAAAAGGGTATTTAATTTTTTTTAAATTTCGGTGATAAGTTGTTGGTTTTTTTTAAATTAAAAACATAATAGACAAACTTTGTCATAATCTATTTGTGGAAAGAAGTAGAATGCAATCAAAAAAACTCCTTGAACTTCCAGCTAACCAGAACTAAATCAACGCTATTTGTGTTTTGTTTATGCACACAAACAAGAACATGTATCTCTCAGAGTTTTGAATTCAGGTCCTATCCTCTATTAATTTGGAGAGAAATAGCTGATTAGAGGAGTATCAGCATAAATTCTCATGTAGTTCCAAAGCTGCTATCATTGCTGGCAACATCTCCAGATGAATCATCATCATAATGAGGAGAAATTGCTTAAAAAATAAGAATTCTGACTTATTTTTTGCTGGATTAACATTTTTGAAAGAATAAAAATAGGCAAATAAAAATCTCAAAATACTGGATGGGCTACAACTTGCTGTCTTACAGACAGACCTGGTTGAAGAATTTTTTACAAAACTGATTTTCAGGGAATTATACTGTTCCATTGACATGTAAAATTATTGGAGCTATTTGCTGCCACGGAAAAATCATTTAAGAATGCTACTGCATTCATTCTTGCCTAAATGATAATAATTTTAAAAGTTGTCTGATACCATGATTGGTGCTAAGGGCTTCCTTGAAATATTTCAAGGTCAAATAGGGAAAATATAAGTACTTCTATTAAATGTGTTTCTCACTGCTTTTAGGTAATGACTTGAGAAAATCATACTGTGAATTACTGCAACTGCACTTTCAAAATAATCTTAAAATCTTGAATTGAGACCCACATAAAACAGCATAGGTGATATTTTAAATTTATAGCTATACATATAATCTGAACCTGAAGAGGCCTGTTATTATCAGGTTTGAGCAATCCAATAATCCACTATCAACCATAGCTCTGCTGTGAAATGTTCCAAAGCCTGAAGGCTGCCTGTATTCTTGAAGTCAAGATAAATGTGTGTGATAATTTCTGAAACTCCTTTTTACTGATGTAAGGAGATTGTCCATATATATATGTATAAGTATATATATATATATATATAAAGGTCTGGTAACAGGTCCAGTTCCTTCCCAGCTCCCCTCCCTTCTTTGGACTCATCTGAGCTCCATAAAAGTGCACACCAAAGTCCCTAATTCCCAGCCCAAAACATTTATTACAAGAGCTTGCAGGGAGCAGCTTGGACAGCTTCCTCGCAGCTGCGTTTCACAAGGAGCACCACTTGAATTTGTTTTTACAAATGTGTTTCTGGAAGGTTTTTATATTCCCTACTAGTCTTTTGCACAGAGTAAAGGTTAAGGTTTTACTGTTCCTCCTGGTGTATAAAGCGTGCTGGCTTTCTTGTGGTCTTGATTTCTCAAGATTACACTCTTTGAGGAAGTACTAGAAATAATGAGTTTTATTCCCTTTCAAAGGAGCTTCAAAGGAAATATCACTTCCAACTCAAAATACTTAATCATGTAAGAAAAGGCTGTTGAATGGAATACCCTGAGAGGGAAAGGCTAGAGAAGCGTGTCAACTGCAATTCTTGCATCACTGCTTTCCATTTGAGAAAATACCTTGCCTTAATCAGCCCATACCCTGCAAAAGCTGTGCTTTGAGCTTATGGGGATGTGGGGAGTGTTTTGATTTTAACAGTTTTCAATGTTTATTTTTCACAGTGCATTGATAATATAAGGTGCAATGGATTAATGACAATAGTGTTTGAAGAAAACTCCAAAGTCACAGTGCCACACATGATCAAGTAAGTGCAACAGAGAACAAAATAGATTGTTGTGTTCCTTCAATTAAAAATTTAACAAGAGAAAGCATATCTTTAGAAAATGCAAGCCTTTAAAATTTTTTTCACCTATTTTGGTTGAGTGGAACAGATTCTATATCCCAAAACACATATTTTCAAATCCCTTTCTTGGAATTGTAGGGATCACTCAGGGTGGTGAACTCTCAATTCACATGCTGGATCACAACTCAGGTTTTCCTGGGTTGTGAGTAGTTGGCTTCACTATGCCTCAGATGAATGATTTTGTTCTCAGTTTTCCTTGTCATCTCATAATTTTTTTGGAGATTTTTACAATGTCTTCAGAATTTATGTGGCTGCAGAAAAATACTGTTTTCAAAGGTATTTTGTTATATTAGCCAAAGTTTTGTTCTCTGTATTTCTGTTAAAAAATTATTTTCTCTCATTATTTTAATTGATCCCATCAGAGTAGCATCACTGTTTATAAGGCTGCTTCCCTTAACTTTTTATTCTCTCAATTTTGGTTCCAGTGAGATATTTTCAGTACATTATTCCAGATTTTTAACACAGTTTGAATCTTCTGCATACCTCAGTTTACCTGAGTTTTACTTATTAGAATCCAGTGAATATATGGAATATAAGTGAATGAAACACGAGGATAGACATAAAACTATTTCCTTTCTCACTATTGTGTCACATCTCTTGGTTTCTCAAATGCCTCTTCTGTAGTTGTTTCCTCTCTTCTCTTTGTGCTTAGAAATGGGAGAGAGAAAGCATCAGGGAATGCGCTGTTGGGCACACACCTTTGATCCCTGGAAGGAAATAAGGCATTTTATTGTCTGCAGCTTTATTCCAGGAACTCCCCAGTGTGTAAAAACTCCTGTCACCTGCTGAGTTTTAAAAGTACATTTGTCCCCTTTCAAAGTACAGCAGGACCTCAGTCCCCGTGCCAACAGAAAGGAATAATAATTCTGAAGAACATACAGAACATGCTTCACAACAGACACAAATTTGGTGTTCTCCTTAAATTTTACTTGCCTGATTTGCAGCACAGTTTGACTTCCAGAGTCAGATGTCATTGGATGATATAAACAAAAAATTACAACTATTCAGGGAGCCTCATTTAAGAAACAAGATTTTTTTTTATTGCTGTTTCTTTTATGTAATACAGTGTAGAATTTTGTGAATAACCTGATCTTTCTTCTGAGAAAATCTAATAATTTATAACAAAAAGATGGGGTGTATTGAAAGATGCTCTACTTAGTACTCATCCTGTTTATTTGCAAACTAAGAAAAACAGAATTTTAGGGGAAACTCTGCCCCCCCCCCCCCCTTTATGGGTAGGGATATTTAAAATTATTTTTTTTTTTTTTAATGTTCAAGCAGAAATTGATTGGTTTTTGGTTTAGGTTTTTTTTCACTAAAATAAAGATTTTTCTTGGTTTCTGCTTTGAAATTCGTGATGTTTTGTGCTTCCTTCTCTTAAAACAAAAAGTAATTCTTGGAGCTGAAGGCAAGTGTTAGTTTGCAGGTAAGCCTTAAACCTAGCTAGAGGGGTTAATGTTTAGGATCCATTACTTTATTTTAGATAAAGCTTGATCCCAGCAGAAAACACTGCAAACAATTACTACATACTGAGATTTTAGTCATACTGACCTATGGGCCACAATAGCCTGAGAGAGACAAGAGGGGACAATTCTGCCACCTGTTCCATTTCAGAAATGTAAGCATGATTAACAGTTTCTTAGGCTTTGAAGAGTAAAGCCATTGTAAAAAAGGAAATTTAAATTCCCTTAGTTATGGAAGCAGTTGTCACCACAAATTAAAGTTTTCCTGCATTGATGGAACGCAATAGTGAGTAAATATTTGCTGCTTTTGTGTTGATAGGAACAGCTAAAGGGGAACCATTCCTATGATGCTTGAGAGTCTGCCTAGAACAAAGGCTAGACAGAATTACAGGAATAAAGTAGGGATTTATTAAAAATCCTGCAAAGGATACACCTGGGGCAGCACAAGAGCCTGGCCAAGTCTCCACCCAAGATGGACTCTGAGTCAGGGGTTTTCACGCTTTTATAAGGTTTGGTTCATTTCTATATTAGGGTTAATTGTCCAGTTCCAGCTCCAGGTGATGCAGTCCCACCCTCCCAGGTTGCTCTCCTCCATTCCCTGCTGTTTGCACTTCTTGGGCCTTTTGGACCTTTTTGTTGTTTGCACTTTTTGGGGCTGAAGTTGCAGCGGTGTCCTTGGTTCTGGGGATGGAAAAGGATTGTTCTGTGTGACTGAGCTGTGAGGAGAACCTGCTGACACTTTATATGGTGTTCAGAGTTATATAATAATGTATTACAGAGCCTGGAAAATATGAAAGCTGCAAATTAAGGCATCACCTTAGCCATGATCATCACTCATTGCTGAAGTGTTTTAAATTTAACTTTGGTGTAGATCCGACGCCCGTCTTCACAGGGATGACGTTGATATTTGCTTCAGCAAAACGCTGAATTCCTGCAAAGTGCCCCAAATCCGCTACGCCAGCGTGGAGCGCCTGTTGGAGCGGCTGACGGACCTGCGGTTCCTGAGCATCGACTTCCTCAACACCTTCCTGCACACCTACCGCATCTTCACCACCGCCGCCGTGGTCCTGGAGAAGCTCTCGGACATCTACAGGCGCCCCTTCACCTCCATTCCTGTCAGGTGAGCCCTGCACCTCCCTGGGGCCTCCCTGTTGCAGATTCCTGGAGAGATACCACGGCCTCGGTCGTTGTTCATTTCCTGGGCGTTTTTCTCATCGTTTTCTGCTTGTAAATAACCTAAGAGGAAGATTCTTGGTGTGTATATGAAACGTAAACTTTAAGGCATTTAGAGATTTTGAGGAGCTAAGATTTTAGTTAGAAATAAGCCTTACTAGAGTTAATTAAAATAAGAATAATAAATGAGTAGGCCTTGATGAAGTTAGGAGTTAGTAGTTAACTAATAATTGATTGCTTGCCAGCACAATGTTTAGTTAGCTGGGTTTATAATGAAGAATACACAAACTGACAAAGAGCTTTTAGGAACATAAGACAATTGTGGGCCTCCTCTGTTCTGAAACCAATTGAAGACAAGGAATGGGAGTTCTACCAAGAGTTCATTTGTCATACTTGCATTGAAAAGGTAGAAAGGTCAGAACGAGGAAGACTTCATTTACTTCCTCATTTTGGGACCCCTCCCCATGAAAGGGACACCGACCCATTTCAAGGAACAAATCACGCATGCTTAATAGCTTTTGGAGTGATTAGCATACGAAACGGGGAATGGGATGTACCAAAATGATGAATATGTATTTGTATTTTGTATATTCAATACTTGTATGGATAAAAAGACTCTGTAATCACCTGGAAGGTGCGGTGTGTATTTGGGAGCGACCCCACACACAGCAAACACACTTTCTAACTTTAAACTGTTAGAGAGTTTTTGTCCGTCACAGTTGGATATCGATACTAGATCAATATCCATATTTTTTTAATAAATCATATACAGGATGCCAGTTTTATGGAGGGTTTGTCTCAGCTGTATGCCCAAGCTTTGAGGGCTAACTGTCACACAGATTTTGCAGTGCCGTGCAGGTTTGCTCAAAATTGAAGTGTTTTCACTTAAATCTAGTCCATGTTTGCTACCGTGCTCTCTTTTTGTGTTTCTGCCACTCAGGTCCTTGGAGCTGTTCTTTGCCACCAGTCAGAACAGCAGAGGGGAGTACCTGGCTGACGGGAAGTCACCACACTTGTGCCGCAAGTTCTCCTCTCCGCCTCCCCTGTCCCTCTCCAGGACCTCCTCGCCCGCCAGGACCCGCAAGCTGTCGCTGACCTCCTCGCTGAACTCCAGGGTCGGCGCCCTCGACCTCTCGGCCTCGTCCGTGGCCAGCAGCCCGACCTCGGCCTACAGCCCGGCCACGTCCCCGCCGCCCACGGGCAGCAAGGCGCCGCTGGACCTGAGCCGGGGGCTGTCGTCCCCCGAGCAGAGCCCCGGCTCGGCCGAGGACAGCCTGGAGAACCCGCGCCTGGACCTCTGCAACAAGCTGAGGAGGAGCATCCGCAGAGGTATCCATAGCCACGGGTGCTGCAGTCCAGCGTGCTGCTTGGTGCCACTGCCTGTGGGGTTTGGGAACCCCCTGCCCTTTGCCCAAGCCTTTTCTGAGGTGGCCAGCACCCCAAAACCCACTCTGGGTCACAAGTTCTTTAATAACGGCTGATTCGGTCTATTAGAGAATGAATTATTTATTTAATAGACAGAAAACTAACAGGCATAAGACTTAAACTAACACTACACAGGAATAAGGAGAAAACTACTAATAGATATACACAGCATGAAGTTAAAGGCACTCATTGATGTTATAGCTAGTGAAGAATGATACAGCCTAGGATTCAGTGGATCTTGCCATCCAGTTGTTGTTGGGGCACACATTGAGATCCTTTCCCTCAATCCCCAGGGAAGCATCCATGGAATCTGTGTCCAGACTCCAGGGAAAAGTCTCAGACACTTTCAGGGTGTAGGACCCTTCTGCCTCTGTGGTGACTCGTGTGTCTTTCACAGTTTGTGGAACAGTCGAGAAAATTTCGTTTATCTCTTCCCACATCGGCTCTCCAGGCTGAGCTGTAGGTCTTGGCTGGGGCGTGAGCCCTTTTGGTGCTGGAGATGACCCCTTTGGGCCCTCAGCCTGGGCTGTCCTTGATGTCTGCACCCGCTGTCAGTGGCAGAGAGGGGAGGACAGTCCTGCCACGCTGCTGCTCCTCTGGTCCAGGTTCTGATGTGCTCTCTGTTCCCAGCCCTTCGCTGCTCCTTCCCAGGAACAGCAGCATGGCAAAGTCACAGGAGCACAGGATGGTCTGGGTGGGAAGGAACCGTAAAGCTCATCTTGTCCCAGCCACCAGCACCTGGTCTGTTTTCACTTCAGTGAAAACAGGAGAATAAGGAGAATAATAATAAGGAGAAAAGGCTGTAGAGAATATTTAATTCCAGTTGTGTTTGTTGAGGTGAGAGATTTTTTGAGTTGAACCATGTACTGCAGGAAGTGAAATACTAAGTTATAAAGAAAGACCTAACAGTTTTAGCATGTTTTTATAGAAGGCTGATTTTCCAGGGAGATTCCACCACTAATCCAAATAAATAATGCGTGTGATGTGCTGAGTACATCAGTGACATTTGTACCAGGTGGTGTGAATGTCACCTGGTTATCCCTCCAGAAGGCACAAGTCCAAAATAGATTAATTGCTCCTGAGCAAATGCCTGTTTTCTCTAGGGATTCTTTAAGGCACCTTGGAACAGGTTTTACTTCCAGAGGGCTGAAGCTGGTTGATAAAAGCCTCAGTGTGGGAGCACTGTAGTTACAGATGGCAGAGCAAGGAAGCAGCTCCAGTCTCATAGGAAACAGAAGTGGACATTATTTCTCCTTTGGGGACAGATGAATGATCTTCCTAATTGGAATAGAAGTTTGCAGTAATAATTTTTTAACTGCTGTTACACCCAATAGAAAATGATGCAATTTAAAAATGCTTTTTTTTTTTTTAATTCCTAAAATTAACATTTAGAAATGGTTGTACATGGCCTGGCTTACAGTCTGAGGAATTTGATCTGTAAATCTGAGCAAAATGTAGCTCAATTTTAGTTGGTAGTAGTATAATAACAAAAATTAAAGAGAGGAAAGAAGAAAAATACAGCCAAATACAAAGTGAGAGAAGTGTGATTAAAAAGTTGTGTCTGCTCCCTACTGATGAAGTAGCAGTGCCCTGCTAATAGATTAGATGTTTCATTGTGCCAAAGGATTGTTTTTACAGAACGCTGCCTATTGTTTAACAAAAAAATTCCTTTTTAACAGGGAAGTTATCCAGTGTAGCATTCTAGAAGTCTGCCTGTCAAGAGCAGGGGGTGGTGTCATCAGAATAATGTTGGGTTTTTGACCATGGGATGGTCTGTACAACACCAGATCTGCTGGCACCTGATGGGATGCACCTCTCAGAGGCGAAAAAGGTTTCTAGCATAGGAAATTCATCTAGAATTCTAGCATAGGAGGATTCATCTAGTTTGGAAGGGGGAAAGGACAAAACCAGGTAGTGAGAGGCAGTGGGTGATGCACCAAAACTTGAGGAACTGAGCGCTGGTGGGAGGTGTTGGCTGCCACAGGCCAGAGCTGAAGTGTTTCTGTTCCAGCACAGCATGGAGAACAAACAAGAGCAGCGTGGATGCTTGGCCCAGTCCCACTGATTTGGCATCACCAGCATAAGTGAAACCTTACTGAGATGAGCCCTGTAACTGAAGTGCCCTATTGAACATTTTCAGGCTCTTCAGGTAGGATAGGCAGGGCAGGTGAGGCAGAGGGAGGCACTGGGTGTAACAGAAGGGTTAGAGTGTAGGGAGGTCACAGTTGGCAGTGGCACAGTTGAGACCCTCTGGGTAGAAATCAAGGGGCAGTGAAAGGATGCAGATGTTTCTGTGGGAGTCTACTACAGATCTGGCCCAGACTGTTGCCTTTTTTCCAACCTGGAAATGAAACTTGAGGTGTTTTTAGTAAGAATGTAATGTAAGAGTGGAACTTTATTTGAAGGTATTCATAGGCAGTTATGGAAAGATATCCACAAAAGCCTACTCCCCCCACTCCCACTCCCCCACTCCCACCTTTTACAGGTGCTAGGAAATTTGTGTAATTGATAAAAAGCACCAATTAGGAGGACAAATGGTGATGTAAATCTCTCCCAGGTTAAGTCCGTTCTCTGTAGTCCAAGATGACTAAAACACCTGGATGACAACTTCATGCTCAAGTACTAGGAGAGCTGACTAGGAAAGATGCCCTCCTTGATTTATTGCTTGTTAACAGAGAGGGTTTGAATGACATGATTGGTGGCTATCTTGCTACAGCAGTCACAGAGTGATTGAGTTTAAAATCTCTGTTGCTAGGAGAAGTGTCAGAAAATTTTCACCCTTGGACAAAAGTAGAGCAGGCTTTAGGCTGCTCAGGGAAATAGTGATCAAGATCCCTGGGAAAATCCTTTAGTGTGGGTCACTTTTTAGGTTCACCTCCTACGGGCACAGGAAGTGGCAATTCCAAAATGTTGAATTCTGTCAAACAGTGCAGATGAGACAGAAGGATTGCTTGGCTGAGCAGGGATCTTCTTTTGGAGGTAAAGCAGAAAAGGAAGGTGTATGCCCAGCAGGAGAAGGTTGGGTGACATGGCAGGACCACAGAGATGTTGCTCTGCAGGCAGAAAATTTTTGCAGCCAAAGCATAACTGGAGTTGAAACTTGCCAGAAGTGTGGGGGATGATAAAAAGAGGGTTTTAAAATACCTTGGTGAAAAACAGTGCAGAAATGACATTGGCCTATTCCAGAATGAGGGTGGTCACCTCACAAATAGAGAGTTTGACAAGACAGGGATATTTATTGTTTTCCTTACCTCTCTTCAGCATGGGCTAAGAGAGTCCCAGTGCCTTCAGCTGAATGACCATGGCTTGAGAATGATAAACTCACAGTTGATCTCGAAGTTGTAGGGATCTGCTGCACCAGCTGCATCCCTATAAATCTATGGAGCCTGATTGGATCCATCTGAGACTACTGAAAGAACTGGCTGATGTAATTGTGAGGCTTCTCTCAATATTTGAACAGTCTTGGAAGTTTTGAGGGGTCCCTGTTGGGTGGATGCTGGTTAACATTGTCCCAGTTTTTAAAAAGCACAGGAAGGGTGACCCTGGAAACCACAGGCCCATCAGTCTCCCACTTCAGCACCTGGTAAAGTCATGGAGAAAATCGCCCTGGGAGGTATTGGAAAACACCTTGAGGCATCATGTTACAGAGAAATGGACAAAACCTCGCTAAGAGCAGTGCAGCCACTCCTCATTCAGCTGTAGCGTGAGGGGTTGTCTCTTCAAAAATACTGTGCGTGGTGAGCACAGAAAAGGCTCCTCCTGTTCCAGCCTGTATTGTGCATGTGTGCTCACAGGTTCTCCCAGAACAAACATACATAGGATAATCATTCCCCCAAAGTCATCAGCATATGTTCCTTCCCTTTTCACACGATTCTGTCTGTCTCAGGGCTCTGTACAGTGGTCTCTGGTGGTTGTAGGCCCTGAAGTGACACTTAACCATCCCATGAGTTCAGTGTTACTTTCCCAAATATGGAGCCAAGTTAGCACAACCAATGTAATTCATTATTTTGGAGATTAAAGTGTATTCTCCTGCTCCTCTTCTTGGTTGATGTTTAACGTGAGCCCCATTATGCAGTTCCACAGGCCAGTGATTTCACAAAATAATCATTGTCTCTCCCTACCAGCTGAGCAAACAGGTATTAATGAATCTGGCAACAATAGGTCAGCACAGCTTCACGAGGGGGAGGCCCTGGTCACACCTGAGCTCCTTTTGTGACAGGGTGGCACACCTGGGTGACCCAGGAGAGGCACTAATGTGATCTCCCTGGGCTTCATCAAAGCTTTGGGTACAGTCCCTCCCAGGTTCCATCTGGACAGACTGTCCAGCCCACGGGTGGATAAAAACACTGTGGGCAGTGGGCTCACGGGGCAGGCACGGGGTGACAGCAGGCTGGCACTGGTCACTGCTGGGCTTCCAGGGCTCTCTCCTCACCCCTGTGCTCTTCAGCATCTTCGTGAGCATGGACACAGCACTCTAAGGAGCACTGAGTGAGTTTGCTGGTGACACTAAATCGGGAGGAGCGGCTGCTGTCACTGCAGAGGGAGCTCAGCAGGTGAGGGGTGGGATTTTGGGAATTGCCCAGGTGTGCTGTGTTTAGCAAGGGATTCTGCACCTGGGATGGGCATCCCTGGCTGCGTGGGAGCACTGGGGAGCAAGGGGCTGGGGAGCAGCTGTGGGGTGGGACCTCGGGGTGCTGTCCATGTGCACTTTGAGTGAGTGGTACCCGGAGCCAGGAGGGACATCCCGGTCCTGGGGGGCACCAGGCCCAGCATCACTCGCTGGTGCTGCCTCACCTGGAGCCCTGGGGACAGTTTTGGGCACCAGCATGTCAGAAAGGGCTAAAGCTGTTAGAGAGTGTCTGAAAGAGAGACCTGGGGATGGTGAAGGGTCGGGAGGAGCAGCTGAGGGTGCTTGGTGTGTTCAGCTGGAGAAGAGGCGGTGAGGGCAGAGCTCACCCGGGGCTGCAGCTCCTCCCGAGGGGCAGCTCACATCTTTGTTCCCTGTGACAGGGACAGGAGCTGGGCCAGGGTGGGCTCAGGGGGATCCTGTGTGTCCCTTCCAGCTCAGGAGGTTGTGTGAGTCGGTGATCTTTGCTTATGCTTTATGCTTTCAAAAGCACTGGTTAGCTGTTGTGCGTAATCATGGATATTATATATACACTATGCTGGATGTTTTTACATAAATTGCACAACAGACTGTGTATCTAAATATAAATATATATAATATTTTATGTATTTTTATATATAAATAAAGTCCATATAAATAAATAAATAAATAATAAGATAGTCTCTATAAATATATAAAAATAAATTTATGTATCAACATATATAGTCTATATATTATAGATATATATATAAATAGTCTTAATTATTTACATGAACATATATATATATAAAATAGAGGTTTTTTTCTATGCAAAGTTGAGCAAATTCTTCTTGTGCACTACTTTAGCCACATTCAGACCAATGTGATGATAGCACAGCATATCCCAAAATACAGGCCATGCATTGAAATTTATCACAGACAGGTAACTGCTGTCTTGGCTGTAATACTTTTTCTGCGTTGCAAAGTGAACTGGTAAAGAGCAGGCTGTTCTGCCCAAGTGTAGGCAGTGGGCAGTGCTGGGGAGGTACATTTCTCATTGTGGTCTGTCAAAGCTGGAAGCGTTACCTGGGCAGCACAAGGAACATTGGAAATGGCCAGAGGCCCATATAAATGTTAAATTGCTGTCACTGCAGTCTCCTGCCCCTTTGGGCATCTCCTGCTGAACAGTTTGCACTCAGCCTGTGGGAATTTGCAGGCAGAGAGCTCTGTCCTGCAGCAGAGTCCTTTTGTTGCCCAGCTGCATGCAGAGTGTTGGTGAAGATAAGTTTAAAAAGAAATCTCATAAGGGCAGGGGTGGAAATAGGTAGTCCTGTTGCTCTGATACTGCCAGAGTTCCAAAAATCCAGCTCTGGCTTACTTTAAGTCCAGCACAACTGCACAAATTCTGTTTCCCAGGACATATTACTATGATAATTGCTGTTCTCTATGACTGTTGTCCATTTACAGGCAGGGATTTTCACCTTTGTTCCCTGCCTTCAAAGTTGTTTGCTTTCAGAGTTTTTGTTTTCCAAAGTTTTTGTTTATATTTAGCCTTACATACACAGTACTTGTGCTGCAGGCAGAGCTGTCATTCACGTCAAACACAGGATGTATTTTGTCAGCTTGTTTTCCCTCATTTTGGAAGTAGTGTTTATCCCATTCCTTTTCTTATTCTCCTGATAAAAGAGTTCCATCATGGACTAGTCTGCTCTCCAGTGCTGTTTAGCAGTTTTATTGGACAGATTTTGATTACACTTTGATATTCAACAAGGATTATTTTCCCTAGGTGACAGAACACCAGTGAGTTCAAGTATCCTTATTATGTGTGCGTGTCACTGCACATCCTCCTGATTGAAAGTGCAGTTTTATCCAACACATTTCAAAACTGAGAAGTTGCTGGCTTTCACCGAGTTCTTTATTTATGAGCTTTTGTGTCATTGGTACAAGACTTTCCCTCTGCTTTAACTCCATCCAGAGGATAATTATTGCTGAGTTAATGACAGGATCTCGTGGCGAGTTACAGGCACGGAGCTGTGTGCAGCAGCTGTAAACCAGATGATGCGTGCTCAGCAGTGCTGACATTTGTTCTCTTCTAAAGCAGCAGTTCTGGAGACGGTGTCGGTGGACAGGACCATTCCTGAGAGCTCCTCGGTGGTGGACACGGCAGAGCTGTCCCCGTGCAGGTCGCCCTCGACGCCGCGCCACCTCCGCTACCGGCAGCCGGGAGGTGAGAGCTGTGCTGTCTGCCGGTCCTTCAGCAGAGTTTGGTCTCTGTGGTCTCTGCAGGACAGCAGGAAGCAGTAGTAGCGTTTTGAGTTACTGGACACCTGTTTCTCAGGTGTTAAAAATAAAAAGAGCCATTAGGATGTGAAGTGTGCCTGTTAAATTTGAGCCGCAGTAATGAGGCGTGGAAGCACGCTGAGATTGAGTATGATTCAGTGTTCTGAAATAGCTCAGGCAGGATGTGCCCGAGTTCAGCTAATACTGAATCAGTCCCGTTCTCACAGAACTCTCAAGACTCTGACATATCTTTTTCAGCTGATGAGGGGGCATATTCTGGGCACCATCTGTACTCGTGGAACACACAACACCCATTGTTGTCAGTGGGGAGGGACTGCGTCTGTTTCTTTGTGTAACGCTGAACATTTACAGATGGTCTCACGTTATTCATTCCAAAATTTGAAAAGGCTGCTCAATTGAAGAGGAAGAAGAGAGCTGGAGCTCCTCAAATAACTCTGACGTGGCTCTTTGAAACCATTAGCAGGGCTGTGAGCTGCGCCCATGAAGACTTAAAATGCTGCCAGGTCCTGCAGGTCAGATTCCTGGGCAGGTGTTCCATACCTGGGACTAAAACAAAAGCAGAGTAGAGCTTTCTCACCTGTTGCCAGGACACTTTAGATTCAAACCAATAGTACTTTTATGTGATTGGGCACATTTGTGGCAAGAAGGCAAGATCTGGGAGCTGGAAACTGTGGGCAGTGTCGTATTATCTGAGTCCTACTTAGAGACAAGGTTCACTGCACTCCCTGTAGAGAAAGCTTGATAAAATCTGCAGAACTCTGTTCATCTTGGGCAGTGACCAGGGCAAATGTGTGAATCCAGTCATCAGAGGATGGTGAATATGCTTAATTTTCTGACATAATTTTTTGTTTAGGTTAATTTTCTATGCCGTTGTTTTTTATTTATGGTTAATATCTCAGATGTTAATGTTTTCAATGTTTTTTCTATAGCAACATTAGTTATACCAGTGTGGAATTATAAGCCATAAATATGATTACCATACTTCTGCTGTCTTTCACAGAAAATCATCTGGCAGTTTAAATAAATACAACGTTGACAAAATTACAAACAGTACTGAAGATTCTAAGTCTTGTTGTTGGTCAATAAAAAGTTTGTAGAAGGTGATTTTTTTCCTGTCCTTCCCCTTTACAGTGCAGACTGCTGACAACAGCCACTGCTCCGTGTCTCCTGCCTCTGCGTTTGCCATCGCCACAGCTGCAGCCGGGCACGGGAGCCCACCAGGTGAGGGGTGTGCTGGGCAGGCAGGTGACACACAGGGGCTCAAGAGGTGAATGTTCCTCAAGAACGGACCTCTGTGTTCTCATCAATGATGTTCTCACCTCAGCCTGGTCTAGTGGAAGGTGGCCCTGCCCATAGCAGGGCTGGTACTGGGGATTTTTAAGGCCTTTTCCAACCCTATTGGTTGATTTCTTAATATTTCTAACCCAGCCTATTACTGGAAGATTAATATTTGACATGAATGTGATCTGCTAAACATCCAGAGAATATCTTTCTTGTTTGGTTTTTTTTTTTTAAATTCACTTACAGTTTAAGATTTTATTTTTTAAAATGAGGTTTTCTATGTCCAAAGTTGGTATGCAGTTTTATTTATTGTGAGTGTATACTGTATCTTGCTTGCAAAGCAATTACTGACTGAAGGTATTTACTGCAACTGAAATATTTGAATATTTGATTTATACTTGATTTAAATTTTGAATGTGCTGCTCATCTTGCTGTGTACCCTTTGACATATTAATATCTTCCACTAACAGGGTCATCTCATAGGTCATGTTGCAAATAAACAACAATTTTTTTAAAGTCTACAAAACCAATTTTCCTTTGGCTGGACAAATCCACAGTTCATTTTGATTATGTGTGACAAAGCACAGTCCAGCTGCAAACTCACACTTGCCTCTTTCCCACTGGAATGTCAAGAAATTGCTTTGAAGACCCCAGTCTCAAAATCACCTGTGAAAATCTGTGTAAGCCAGTACATGATCCCTGTGGATCTCAGTGAATTTTGTGTCCACTATGTCTTCAGCTCTGGTCATTAATTGGTGGGTGAGAGGACATCAAGAGAAAATAATTTCTGCGTGAGCGTGGATCACTGCTCCTCTCAGTCTTGTGTACTTCCCATGATCTTTAGGTTACAAGACAGTGATGTTGAGTGCTAGAAGCTTTATCAGAGAGTCATTTCGGCTGGAAAATCCCTCTCAGATCATCAGGTCCAGCCTGTGCTGGGTCCCCACCTTGTCCCCAGCCCAGAGCTCCGAGTGCACCTCCAGAATTCCTGGGACACCTCCAGGGATGGGCACTCCAACCCTCCCTGGGCACTTCCAATCCCTGAGCTCCCTTTCCACGGGGAAATTCCTGCTGGTTCCACCCTGAGCCTGCCCTGGGGCCGTTCCCTCTGCTCCTGTCCCTGTTCCTGGAGCAGAGCCGAGGAGCAGCAGCCGCCCCTCGTTCAGCTGTGGGGCTGTGGGCTCTGAAATCCTGAGTGTGCTGAGCACAGAAAGGGCTCCTGTTCCCGGGCTGTGCTCACGTGTGGGCTCACAGCGTGTTCTGGAGCACACACACGTGGGGACATGGCACTGAGAGCTTCTACAGAACACACACACGTGGGGACATGGCACTGAGAGCTTCTCCAGAACACACACACACACACGTGTGGTGACACGGCACTGAGAGCTTCTCCAGCACACACACACACAGTGACACTGCCCTGACACCTTGTCCCAGCACGCACACACACACACACGGTGACACTGCCCTGACACCTTCTCCCAGCACACACAGGGTGACACTGCCCTGACACCTTCTCCCAGCACACACACACACACACACACACAGTGACACTGCCCTGACACCTTCTCCCAGCACACACACACACGGTGACATGGCACTGACACCTTCTCCCAGCACACACACACACACACACGGTGACACTGCCCTGACACCTTCTCCCAGCACACACATGTGTGGTGACACTGCCCTGACACCTTCTCCCAGCACACACACGCACACACACATGGTGACACTGCCCTGAAGTCACTAATGCACATCCCCTGTCCCGGGGTGTCCGTGGGGGTCCCTGAGGGTCCGGGACCCCACAGCTGTGTGTGACCACGGGGTGACCTGGTGCTGCTGGGCCAGTGAGGAGAAGGGCTGGCACAGCCGGCCTGGCTCGATAATCTGTGGGACTTGGAGTGGGTGCAGAGTAGTTTTTTCATTTCTTGGTTAAAGTTTATTGTACTTTTGGTTGTGCACTTCCATAGCCTAATGATTCTGCTAAATGATCATTGTATTAACCCACCAGGTGCAATCAATTCTTCATCGGGCAGCATTGTCAGGAGTTGTGCAGAGCCACAGGGTCCCCTGCACCTCCTTTTCTCCAGGCTGAGCCCCTTCCCAGCTCCGTTCCCCTCCTGGGGCTCCATTCCCTTCCCAGCTCCCTCATCCCTCCTGGGGCTCCATTCCCTTCCCAGCTCTGTTCCCCTCCTGGGGCTCCATTCCCTTCCCAGCTCCTCATCCCCTCCTGGGGCTCCATTCCCTTCCCAGCTCCTCATCCCCTCCTGGGGCTCCATTCCCTTCCCAGCCCCTCATCCCCTCCTGGGGCTCCATTCCCTTCCCAGCTCCATTCCCTGGCCACATTCCAGCCCCTCAGGCCCTGCCTGAGCTGAGGGGCCAGAGCTGGGCACGGCACTAGAGATGGAAGCTCAGCAGTGCCAGCACAGGGCACAGCCACTGCCCCGTGCCTGGGACAGCCCAGGGGCCCTGGGCCCTCCTGGCCCCTCTGGCTCCTGTCCTGTTGCACTACAACACGAAATAACTCACACACTCGCTCTAAGCTCAAAAGAGTAAAAGGAAGTAACTTTTATTTCTGACCTTGTAATATATAGAATTCTAAAGTGGCAGTGGATTGGAGGGTGAAATTGCCTCCTCTCCAACCACAGTGGTCAAACCAACAGTCCATCAATTCTCTCCTCCCACAAAGAAGAAAGCAAAACAATAATTACTTACATGAACAGTGCATGAGAACTCCAGTAGAAATACATAAACATCCTGTCCGGAGCCCTCTGCAGAGCCCTCCTGCCCTCCGGCAGATCCACGCTGCACCCACCCTGCTGTCCCCTATGGACCTACTGGCAGGGCACTCGGTCCCCTGGCCCAGGTTCTGAGCAGGATGGCCCAGCTCTGCTCCCTGGGGGCACTGCTGGTGACCAGACACTAGCTGGGTCAGCGCTGTCCAGCACTGTCCCCACTGTCCAGCACTGTCCCCACTGTCCAGCACTGTCCCAGCACTGTCCCCGCTGTCCCCAGTAGGTCAGCACTGAACTCCCACTGTCCCAGTACTGTCCCCATGGCCTCCAGCAGGTCATCACTGTCCCCAGGGGGCCAGCACTGCCACCAGTGAGTCAGCACTGTCCCAGTACTGTTCCCACTGTCCCATCACTGTCCCCACTGTCCCCACTAGGTCAGTACTGTCCCCACTGTCCCAGTACTGTCCCCACTGTCCCCAGTGGGTCAGCACTGTCCCCATTGTCCCAGCACTGTCCCCAGTGGGTCAGCAGTGTCCCTACTGTCCCAGCACTGTCCCCATTGTCCCAGCACTGTCCCCAGTGGGTCAGCACTGTCCCAGCACTGTCCCCAGTGGGTCACCACTGTCCCAGCACTGTCCCAGCACTGTCCCCACTGTCCCCACTAGGTCAGCACTGTCCCCTTTAGGTCAGCAGTGTCCCCATTGTCCCAGTAGTGTCCCCAGGGGGTCAGCACTGTCCCAGTACTGTCCCCACTGTCCCATCACTGTCCCCACTGTCCCCAATAGGTCAGCACTGTCCCCAGTGGGTCAGCACTGTCCCCAGTGGGTCAGCACTGTCCCAGCACTGTCCCCACTGTCCCAGCACTGTCCCAGTACTGTCCCTACTGTCCCCAGTGGGTCAGCACTGTCCCCATTAGGTCAGCAGTGTCCCCATTGTGCCAATACTGTCCCCACTGTCCCAGCACTGTCCCAGCACTATCCCCACTGTCCCAGCACTGTCCCCACTGTCCCTGGGCCCGGCCACCAGCCAGTCCTTCTCCCAGGGGAGATGCCCCTCTGCAGGCCCTGGGATGCAGCTTCTCCAGGAGATGCAGTGGGAGTCCAGGTGACACATCCACACCTTCCCTCACCTGCCAGGTGGGTCACTGGAGGACAGCAGGTTGGACCTGCCTTTCCTACACCTGGCTGGGCTGGGTGTGGGGATTTGTGAAGGAATTTTGGATGAGTTAGAGATGGGACCTCCCAGTTCTTCAGATGATGTGGTTTATTTTTCTTATCTTCTGCGTAGACAGGAAGGGTGAGTTCAGCTCACATCTTCACTACACGGCTCAGAAGGTCACAAGACTTCTAGTTACAAGATATTTTAAGGATTTATTGACTAATAAAACACTGCTAACAAAGATATTTATGTTTTTGACCCAATCCTTATTATTTCATCTTGTGGACCTGTGCTGCAGTGTGAGCTTTCTTAGCCAGTCATGTTATAACACACAAACTTACAGTGCTATACTTTAAAACTCTAAATTTTTCTTTACTTAGCTTAACATGTCTCTGCTTTAAACCATAAATCCACATCCTCCCTTCCAGCACCTGAGTTTGGAAACCTTTTCCAAGGCCTGAGATCAAACCCTGTGTTTAATTCTAAGCTTTGGCTCACAGGCCCAAAGTTCAGAGAGTTCCCTGCATTTCAGATTCCAGCAGCTGGCTCTGTGCTTGTCCTGTATGTGCTGTGTGCTCACACTGTCTGGTGAACCTGTCACAAACTTCTGTTCAGCAATTTTTATTTGAATCGTGAATATTCTCTGCCTTTGGAATCAGACTCTGCGTGAAATCACTGACACAATTTGCTTTATTAATTAACCCAGTACATTTACAAATGGCTTAGAAAGCAAATTAAGGATGAAAACTACTGGGCTTTCCCACTAGGAACTAATTCAGTTAAAAAATGCTTCTTTTGCATTGTTAAAACCAGTGTTTTTCAATACTCATAATACTGAAGTATGAGAGAAAACACAATCTTGAATTATGCAGTCGTTAGAAGGAGCATCAAAGCTTGGGAATGTTGAAAGGGAAAAACGACATTCCTAACATTCATTGTTTCTTTTTCATGTTGCTGTTTAAGTGAGCTCTTCATTAAAGGTCACTCTCCCAAGTGATGTTAAAAACAGAAGGCTGTGCAGCAAATTTGACAAGAAAATGTGTG